TCACTGAACTGCAGAGTAGTTCACTTTGCTGCGTCCCTGGAACAGCCATTTGGCAGGATGCAGTGTATCCTTCCTTTCTCCCCATTCCTGCAGCTTTTGCACCTGAGGCTGAATTTATGGGTTTGAATTTTCTGCTCTCTGGCTCAACTTCCTTCCGTCATCTGAAAAGGGAAATTGAGCAGTAATCGTTTTCCTTTTGTATGTGGAATTCCTTAAACAGCTTAGCAAATCCTGGTCTGAATTTTATTTTAAAAGAAAATACTGAAAGTCATCATCATCTGTAAGAATTTTTGATTATTAATTACTTCATAAATTTTCAGACACCCAACTCCAAGCTAGCTAATCCATATGACTGAGCTAAGAAAACAGAAGAAATCCTGAACATACGACTTAAAGGTTTGATAGCCTTAAGGAAGGATAGCCTAGCAAATTTCCTAAACCCATGTGTGCTGGTTTGTGCAGATGCAAGGCTGGTGGGTACAACTTGAGATGTAAAGTTGCAAGTTTGGATCCCAGTGTCTACAAGAAGTTAATAAAAATGTCTTAACCTTGGCAAAGGACAACTTACTCTATTGTCTCTTGCCTATCTACTGTAGCATATGCACAGTGTATGCATAGTGTATTTAGCTGTTGGCCAAGGAAAAAAGATACAGAGGAGTTTGGCACAGACCTTCTACTCTTTGTGTTAAAGGTACCTGTTAGAAATAGAAGAAAAAAGTTTTCAAATTAAAGTTTTGTTGTTATTGCATAAGGCTTATGAATGGAGAGGACTTGGCAGTATGAGCACCATGTTTGCTCCAACAGAGCTTACCTCAGGGTTCATACTCTGCCTGTGCAGACACACGGCAGGTGTGACATCCAAGACCACACAATTGTCAGTGTGAAGTTAGAGCTCTGTTACCCTGATGCTGTATGGTCCTCCCAGGAGGGGAGTGGCATTCCTGTACTGGAGAGGGTAGTGCCATCAGTCTCACAACCAAAGGAAGCTTCTGCTTGCTGGGCAGAATCCCGGAGTCTGGTCTGGCTGCCAGAGTATCAACTAAATCCTGATTCCTGAAGAGGGAGCTGGCCTTAAAAACAGACAGTGTAACTGAATAGGTACTTCCAAACCTGCTGTAGAGAATACTGGAGAACTAGTGAAGCTACTAAAATAAGGAGACAACTGAAATGGTTTCTAACACAAATTCAGAGGTCATGTCTTTTAACAGACCACTGAAAGAATTTAGATGGATTATCATATCTATAAAATCCTTATATTCAGAGAAATGTCCTTGAAAGTAATTCACTTAAATATGATTTTACAAGTAATTTTTACTCTAAAGCATCTCTCTGCCTGGTTTAAAGGAAGAACTCCATGTTCCAAGCTTTTGCTTACAAATAACTTAGCACAAGTCAGTTACTGCTGTGATCCTTAAAAGTTTTAAAGCTTGCCCTATGCCAAAGCTCTATTAACATGCACACCAAGCTAGATTTAACAATATATTATTCACCATTTGTAAGCACGTTAATAAAAGCTTTGGTATGTGAATATGTTTTCATCTTAGAAGTTCCCCAGAGTTTCTAATATGGCTTAGAAGTTGCCCTACTTCTGCTTGAATTAAGGCTTAATTATAAATGTGTGCTATTTGCCTTACAACCTGCAGAAGAACCATGAGACAGTAGGAAAGTTTGGGATACCACTAATGGTAAATGTAAACATTTGTCTTTAAGTCTGATTATCTTAAGGTAAAATATAAGATTTTTAAAAATAATGGACTAAAGCAAAAGATTCAACTTGAACTAATTTGAGTTAAACTAAATCACTATGTGCATACCTTGGATATGCAGTGTAATTTTGCTTTCAGCAAGCTTGGAAAAAAACTTCAAAAGCACCAGGGAGAAGGATAAAAAAAAACAACCTAAAAACCTGCAATAGTTACAAGTAAATTTGCAGAAAGCAAGCAGCTTCCTGCCTAAGTGAATTCCAAAGATAACATGCATAGAGAAAATACAGTCTTGCTAGACTGAATTCTTAGTTAAACTAAGTAAAACAGACACTGCACAAGGTGTGTTTATGCAGACCTGGTGCACCTTTGCAGACAGTAGTTCTTCATTTAAAGTAGAATTTCAAGCAGTCCTTAGGTTTCGTTGAAAAGCAGCATTATGTGTACAGTGTTTCAAAGTCATTCCTTCCAGCCCAGAATATAGTCAAGTCAGAGGTTCTGAATCAGGAACTACATTAATTTGGAGGTCTGGCTTTGGTGACTATTAGTGGTTTTTTGATGCTATTAAATGATGAGAGAGACTAGTTTAATTCAGTGCAAATTACACACAATGCATCAAGCCTTGAGCATGAGGCAGTGCAGCAGGCTGCCCTGAGAAGTTATGGATTACATCCCTGGAAGTGTTCAAGGCCAGGTTGAACAGCTCTTGGAGCAATCTGGTGTAGGGGATGGTGTCCCTGCCCATGCAAGGGCTTTGGAACTGGATGATCCTTAGAGTTGTTTTCAACCTAAAGCATTCTGAGCTTATGCACGGCTCTACTCAGTTCATGTTTCTTTGGGCCTCCAGCAACTCCACCTGCAGTCAGTCAGGACTTAGGCTGTATCCTCATTAGCAAGTAACAACCTGTACTAGGGGCAGAGCTGGAGAGCAAAATGGTTGGTGCTAAGAATCTGATGTATTTGAAGTTCTCACTTTAGCCTAGAAATAAATAAACTTTCCTATTCCAACCCAGATCCTGGTCTGGTCCAGCTGAACACCCATTAAAGAGATCAAATGCAGTTAGAGGCATTCTAAGAGCTCTTTCCTGCTGGAGTCTTGTTGTGAGTCCAGTTTGTGCACTGAGGACACTGCACAAACAAGCTAGATCTTGGCAAATGCTCTGCTAGTTTGAAAAGCACAGATGAGCTCTTTGTTAAATATTAAGGTAACAAAACCCCATTTTTCTATATAGTTGGTGCAGTGCTCCTGTTAGATTACATTTCAAAGCATTAATTCACAGAAAACTTAAGATCAGTCAGTACATATAATAATTTTGAAATAATTATTCTAGGTTCTGCCTTCCCCTGTTTTTCAGGTGCAGTAGTCTTGTTGATGTGATATCCAAGAGAGCCATTGCTAAAATTATTATGGTTGCATAGCAACCTCAATGTGATAAATAACTGGCTTAAAACAGTACTATGCTGTCTATTTCTTTCCCAACAGGACCCAAACAGTTTATCACTGCACCTAATAAAACTCTTGAAGAAAAACATATGCAATTTTTACCACTAAAGAAGTTTCTTTATTCAAATATCCCGTTATTTCTAGGCACTGTCACCAAATTACTGCACCAAGTTATCTTCAAGTATGCATTATTCCAGCATTGTAACTTCTCTGCAAACATCACCAAGCCCCTGCTTAGATCCTTACCTGAAAGCACAACAGAAGTAGTCTGAAGGTAGAAATTAACCAATATAATACTTATAATCCAGCTGTAATTTCCAAAAGCACTTGGGTTTTTTATGCAGCCAGATAAGTTTTCCCTACAGAAACAAAACTAAACGTGGACAAACTCAACATACAACTTATATATTCCCAGGTTTGGTTTTTTTTTATTTTTATGGAATGCTAATTTAGTTACAATCTGGCAGTTCATAACTACTGAAATGTGACATTAATTTGTCTCCAATGCTGTAGAACTGTCTTGATTTATATAGTTTTAAAACAATCTTATTTTACAATAGTTGAGGTCTCTGGTGGTTTTTAAGCTCTGATGCTTAAGCACACAGCAAGCTACAAACCTTAGGTTTTATATTTATACATATATTCTATGTATTCAGACAACTGCTGTAAGTTATCTATAATTTAATATTTATAAAAAGTGCATATACTGGTACATATGCACATCTAGAAACACACTTTTACTACTGCCTCCCTTTTTTATAAAAAGCTGCATAACATACAGCCATATTATTCTCACTCATTGCTATTAAAGTCTTTTACTATCTTTGTTACACAATTTTAACTATTCAATTACCTCAAACTGAATGTAGGTATTTCTATGTATATTTTCTCCTAAAGAAAAAAAGTCCTCCCTATTCCTTTAAGAAGCTTTAAATCATGCATCAGTTTAGTACACAGTCACTTTTAGCACGGATTTTAGAATCCTAGACAGTGTAAAATCTACTTCTGGAAAACGTCTGTCTGTATATTTAATTTCTTCTTTTAGTTACAAAAAATATATAGGATTGAAACATATGGAATACATGCATCTCTCAAAGTGGCTATACTCTAGCCTTATAGATAAATTAAAAAAGTACACCCCTGCTAACAGGATGCAAACATGACCTCAAATAGGCCATTACCTGTATTTAATAGAGCTCATTACTTTAAAAAGTTCAAGTCAGCTGTTCTCACAAGATGGTGTCAAAAGACTGAAGAGCGTGATGCATTTATAGTCAATATACAAAGGTGGGTGCACAGGCCTAGTGCTATTCCATTATTCAATACTTTCAAGGCTTCTGGGCTTTGCCTCTGGTGATAAAAAGTCCTGAAATGATCTGAATGAAAGCTTAAGTTGAAAATTGCTTTTTTACTACACCTTAAAAGCAAGTTGTGTTTAAAAGAAAAATGTACACTGAACAACCTGAAGCACTGAAACAACTGTACAAAAACTATTATAGATACAGAAAGAAATAATGGTGGACTTAACTGCAAACACAAGTAACACTTGTTAACAAATGTAAAAACTTGCTTTGTTTTAATTCTTCTACCAAGTAAGAATTTGCAGCTGTTCAGAACAAGTAAAATTCAAACCACCTCACATTTAAAGTTTTTATACAGTGCAAACGTTTAAGACAGAATAACTTCCCAGTGAAACAGCTGACACTATTTTGTGCCAGTCTTTCGAAGATACCTCTTTCAGTAAGTCTATTTACACATTAAGCTAAAGGTTCACTCTATATGCTTTTAAGTTTGCTGAATATCAGCAGAAAAATACGTGAACTAGCAGCAGTTGTATGACAAATATGTGATGGTTACTTCAATGAATGCATAAAGTTTTCAAGACTGTATTCAGTGTCATACTGCTCTTGATCCCATAGTTCTCCAAGGTTTTCGAGTACTGATTTCATTGATGCTTTCCCAGAAGAGGTAGAGGTATCTGCTTTTTCAGTTTTTCCATCCTTCACAAAAGAAAAAAAATCCTGTTAATATACAGAATAATGTTTTCAAGAATCTAAAAAATTCTTCAAGTCTGATAATTTTCCTGGGGAAATATCACTTCCTCCTGTTGTTCAGAGACACGTCTACTATTCATCAGTCCAACTTAAGCATTTGTGTGATTAAATTTTACACTTCAAAGCAAAGCTTTTCCCTAAGCTGACTCTATTTTTGGTAGGTATTTGTAAAAATGTTTCTTTACCTTGTCAAGAGTGAACAGATCAAGAAGCTGCTCTGTTCCCATGCTCTGTAGGCTTGCATTTTCTTGGCTGATCACTGTATTTGCAATATTCATTTTGAACTTCTGAAGACCCATGATCTTCTCTTCCAGAGTTCCCCTGGTTATCAGGCGATATACATTAACAACACGTTTCTGAAAGAAAAAAAAACACACTTAGCTAGAAAGTATCATCTTAGGTATTCAGAAAAGCATAACCTTTTATAGTGTTTATCATGGACAATCTGGAAGCAGTTTGGCTTGGAGTTACCCTTCAGTAATTGTACTCAGTCTGACAGACATTAGATGGAAAGCACAAGACTATGCCACTATACAGTAGAGGCATCTTGAGTTGTTTCTGTACTCTGGCAGAATTCACTGCTTTTACAGCTCTAAGGGAAGACCGCCAGCAGCCATTGTCCAAGCACCAGAGAAGGATAACCCTGTGGGCTGTCCCTTCAGTTCCTTGTCTCTGTCCTCAGTCATCACTTCCTCCACAAAAGGGCAATTCTTCTCTGGCCTCCCCCCAGCAGCTCAGGAAGTACAGAAGAGAAAACTTAAAAGTTAGGGGCAAAATAAAATGGCAACAGCTGGTATGTTTTCAAGAATTAAGTATGAATGGAAGCTTGGTAGGAACCTACAGATGTCACTTGGTTACACATTACAAACTCTCTCAAGCAAGTTCAGGAAGATAAAAACCACCCTTATGGGAAATGAAGAGGTTTTCACCTGCCCAATGCGATGTGCCCGATCCATGGCTTGCAGGTCTCTCATCGGGTTCCAGTCATGTTCCACAAATACAACTGTATCAGCCCCTGTCAAGTTAAGTCCCAGCCCACCAACATGAGTGGTGAGCAAAAGAACATCTATAGACGGGTCATTATTAAACCTGCATACAAGAAGAAGTTAAGAATGATAAGTTTAATTTAAATAAAGAACTTATGAAGCTCATTTGCTTTGAGGCAGATGAAAAATCCAGTTTTGTACCATATAAAGAATACAGTTCATTAAAGTTGGCCTCATACTGGTTACAAGTGGATAATGCATACCGGGAAACAATGGAATGTCTCTGCCCAGCAGGAATGCTGCCATCGAGGCGCAAGTAAGTAACTGAAGGTAACTGAGGTCTGAGAAGGTCGTGCTCCACTATATCCAGCATACTCTTCAGCTGACAGAAGATAAGCACCCTGTGCTGGGCCACAACAGCTTCTGTACCACTTTCTGAAGATCCACCATTCCCCAAACCACAGTCTAGCAGCAGCTTTAAGTAAAAGAACATTAAAGTGTGTCATTAAAACGACTGTAGATCTCATGTAAACATTGACATTCATTGATTATCAAAAGTTGAAATGACAGAAACAATAAAGTGCAGAAGGAAGTATCTAAATGACAGTCACTTAAATGACAAGAAGGCAAAGTTTCACTTCCCTGTCAAACTATGAAAAACTTAAGTCATTAAAAAATTAAAAACATTTTCTTTGCTTACTTAAATTCTATTGTAAGCAAAGCTATGCAATGCAATCTAATTTTATCAAAGAAGTAGTCTCCTGTGTAATAAAAATGAAAAAAAAACTCTGCAGCAAGAGGGACAAGAATAAATTAGAAGCAAGGTTTTTCATATGCCAAAAAGTTATATAATATATATATATATATATATACACACACACATATATATACTATCACCATGAAGCTTGTTTCCCCCTCCCTCTCGAATTATCAGGGAACACAGAGCATATCCCTGAAACACCCTTACATTATTTTTCATTTGCTACTTAATTTTACTAAGAGGAGTTTCCATATTGTTTAAACCTTAAATAAAACACACTAAACTGTAACAGCAGTAGAGATATTTGGGGAATTTAAGGTACAATACATGTCCACTTACTTGTTTTAAAGCAGACAGCTTAGGTGCATGTTGGATATCTCGAAGGGATGAATTCTGAGCTGCAAGTTGCTCTGTAATTCTCTTGTATTCTGGATGCTGGGCTGTAAGCACTAAAGCCGGATGGTTGCAGAGCTTCCGTAAGTACTGCAATGCCTTCAATTATTTAAGAAATGAAGTTCAAAAAAATAATTAACAGGAACACAGTTACAGAAAAATGATTAACAGAACTGATTGTAAGTAGAGGGGTCACTAGGCCTTATTCTACAATCTGGACTTTATGGTGTATTTTCATCAAAGTTGCACATTTAAAACCTGCATTTCAAACTGTATCTAAACACTGTTACATTCATTGTCTTGGTCCCTTCTTTCAGGAAAAATGCAAGGACTACCATTTCCCACACTTTCATCTGAGTCTGCAATAGAGGAAATGGGTTTGGGAGCAGTTTGAGAATAATTGCTTCCAATTAACCAAGAGTTAATCTGCAATTCTATAAGATCATGACCCTTCATAAATTCGGTTCTACCATTAAGGAAACATTTTGTCCATGTTTTAGAATCTTAATGTTGAAATGTAACAGCTGATGCAATTAGAATTACTTCCCTCATTCTGAGGTTTTGCTCTGACAGTACTCAGTTTTTACAGGATCCACAAAACAGCTAAACACCAACTGAGCCGATCACATTGGAAATACAAGGTAGTGTGATGCTTCACAAGACACAAACCCATAACTTAAATGTAATAGCTATACATCACATTCCAGCTATAAATGCTCTATTTAGATCATATGACCACAAGTTTACTTTTTTGATTTTCATTTTTTACTAAACCTACAAATACAGCTGTATTGTATGCATGTATGTACTAGGTAATAAAAATTACTGAAAAAATCTGTACCTGAAATACATGACCTGTAGATTTAAGCTTTGGTTTTTCAGTTTCTTCATTCAGTGAAATTGAAGAAACTGTTTCATCAATATCACATTTGGCACGAGACTTGGCAAAATCTTCATAAAGCTGAACCTGTAGGCCAGACAAGAGAATGAGTGTGTTTTTTCCTGACAGAAGATAGACAGTCCTACTCAGAGTTTAGTTTCAAGTTAAAATCCTGAGTTATACATCAAGAAAGCTATTTCATATGTAACACAAGATAAACATTAACAACAGAATCTCTTGCCATTTATTTTCTTTCAACTTGAAAAGTGTTATTGAAAAACAGTCTGCAGATGCCTACACGTTGTTCCTGAACAACGCCCAAAATTAAGCTCAAGAAATACTCTGTTACTACAGGACTGGAATCAGTGTTTTAAACACATATTACGAAATTCTTTTAGTACATCCAGAGAATGTCAGAGCTGATATCAGACTGATGCAGGAATACAGCATTCATGCCTTTGTGGTCTTAATTGTGCTGAAAAATAAACTTCCAGCCTCTTTTTAAGCATACCTGTAGAGGACTGAGAATACAATAATAATCTTGAATAATTTTGGGTGGAAGATCTTGCAGCACATCCTCTTTCATTCTCCTTAGCAGGAATGGCAGGACTTGGCGGTGCAGAGCTTCCATTGCAAGTACCCCTAGTGAGGGCAACAGCACCAGTGTTTTAGAAGAAAAACATGTTTGTCAGAACATTCAGTTCCCCCTCAATCTCTGATGTTACAACTAACCACACTTCTTTTCATTTAGCAGTTCTCACTTAAAAGCCTAAAACTAAAACCCAAAGATTAAACATTTGGTCCTTACCAGCCTCTTGTTCTCGACTGGAGCTTCGGGCATCTCTGCTTGCCAGGATTGGTTTTCCATAACGAGCTGCAAATTGGCGTTCAGTGCCCAAGAATCCAGGCATTAGGAAGTCAAACAATGACCACAACTCTAAGACGTTGTTCTGAACATAAAAGAAACATCTGATAAATTATTTTCAGAAGTAGTAAGTTGTTGCAAGATATCAGAAAAAATTTCCATACATATTTAAACCCCTGTATTTAAATAAATACTTTACTGTATTTAAACCCATATTTAAAACCTCACACTAAAACCCAGTCCCAAGCTCCTGGAGCTTGGTGCCTCTTTCATCCATCTGAGTTATAGAAATATCTCTGCATGCACTTGAATGCATAAATGGAGGCACTTGTCCAGTACCTTAAGCCACACCCAGAGTTCTTCTGGTTAAAAAAACCCAGGACACACCAGTGGTCTTAGTCCTGGGTGAGACATACACTGCATAGTCAAGTCATTAGGACAAAGCTCAAAATCTGGAGATCTCAGAATTGAGTTTCCTGCTAATTTTACTTGAGGCATAGGGAAATGGTATCTTTCCTGCTTGACATTTAAAGAGGAAGTGGTAGAAAGTCTCCCTGCCAACTTTTGAACTCCACTAATACCAAAAAACCTGCATTCATTCCCCCATACACAGGTATATCAGAAAAGGGAAAAGATGTCGTTTTGAGCATTTAGAAGTGAAAAGCTGTTTTGCAATATGTACTTTGAACAAGATGATTGTTAAAAGGTACAATAAAAATAAGAGCAAGATAGATCTATGTTGTATGTTTTCTACTGTCCATCCAAAATAGAAAATCAGTTACCTGGATTGGTGTCCCAGAAAGAATTATCCTGTAATTAGCAGTCAGCTGTTTTACTGCTTTTGACAGCTTTGTTTTTCCATTTTTTATTACATGGCCTTCATCAAGAATGCAGTAATTAAATTTAATATTTCTAAAAAAGAAGAATACAGACTTTAGCAGCATTTAAAATTCTAAGCTATTAAAAACCTCAGAAAACAAGCCAATTCTTACCTGAAGAAGTCAATGTCATTTCTTACAACATCATATGAAGCCACTATGAGATTGTGTCTTTTCACCTGGTGTTGCAATCTTAAGAAAAAAATGAGAAGTTAATTGAAGTGTTCCTTACATGTTATTATTTCAGCCTTCAAAGATACCATCACAAGTGTTCCCATGCCCACAAACTACGCTTCAGTAGCAGCACTAAAGTAAATTTAATAATTCCATGTGTGATACTTTACTCTAAACCAGTAAATGCAAGATGGGTTACCTTGCTCTCTCAGTAGGAGGTCCTGTATAGTGCAATGGATTAAGATACTCTTTGGAGCAAAATTTGCCCACTTCATCCACCCAGTGTCCCGTGAGTGTAGGAGGACACACCACCAAGGAAGGAAGAGGAACACTGTCCACCAGTTTTGTTCTTGCATATTCCTGAGCCCTTAAGAATATAAAATAAGAGTTTTAAAAAAATTGTTTTTCACAGAAGAGTAGAGGTGGGAAGGGACCTGGGGTGGCCACCTGGTCCAAGCCTCCCTGTCCAAGCAGAGCCACCTCTGGTGGAAGTTGCCCAGGACTGTGTCCAGATTCATTACCACACATAAGACCTATCATTAAAATCTAAGACAGAATGTTATTTGTTTAAACTTACCTGAGGCAATGATCACCTGCAAGAATGCAAATGGATTGTAAAGTTTTTCCTAAGCCCATGTCATCACAAAGAATTCCATGAAGTTTGTATTTATTGAGAAATGCAAGCCAGTTCACTCCATCCTGAAATCAGAAAAGAAGGAGAGTGCCTGAAGGAAAAAACTGGCTTTTTGCTAGTTGAGCTTCAAACATCCATATGTTCAATGACCCAGCACTGCCAAATTAGGAGCTGGTTTCCCACCAAAAATGGGAATCCACTACAGCCCATTCATTAAAAGTGGGAGGAATAAAGGGCAAAACAAACACCCAACTGGTACAGTCAGGCCTGGCTTTGCAGTGGTGGGCTGCCACAGTCAACGTTCGCAAGGAAAAGCCCACTGGCCATTCCCAGGAAAAAAAATAAAAAGGCAAAATACAGAAAGGGGGAGAAATATCATTAGAACAGTATAAGAAGCATGTATTACTTCATTTGTTCTTCCTTATCCAGGGTCCAAGATACACACTGTGCAACTGAAACCAAAACACTCAAAAAATGCACAAGAAAAATGCCAGTACCTGAACAACTCCTACTATTCCATGAAATTATATCAGACTGGAACTTTTATTTTAAAAGTAGAAGTGTTACCTGCTGGTATTTTCTGAGCTCTGCTTTGATTGGCACTGGAATTTCATAGTTTTCCAGTTTTTTTCCATCCAGTAACTGTTCCAGAAAGTGACGTTCTTTAGCCTTCATCCTGATTAATTCTTCAGACATGTTTGGTGGGTCTGGTATACCAGCCTAGGGTTAACATTTTTAAAGCAAGTCATGTAAGGGCTACAGGACTTAATTGCTACACAGAGGACAAGAAATTAAACCTCATACCCACTCAGACATTTTAAACACAGAGTAAAGATCTGCAATCTTATCAACTGCATGAATCTAAACTTAGGATTTAAATACTATATTTAGCTATACTTGTTTGATTACTTGCAGGTCAACACATGCAGGATTGTAAGGTGCAAGAGAAATCCCATCCCAAAAGAACACATTGAAAAAGACTGATAGAAATTACACAAAAGATGGAAAATCCTCATCATGCTGCTAAGACTCTACAAACACCGAGCTACCTCTAATCAGAGAGTTTATCTGGCTGGCTAGAGAAGCCTATGACACCCTCTCCTCTTGAGCCACCAGCTACCATCCAAAGTTTGATGGATTTTTCTCCTACTTAGTAGAATTTAGATCTAAAGTGATACTGAAATCCAAGCAGCTGGAAGCTGATAGGAGAAAAAAACACCTGAACCCCTCCAGGTTTCTAACACCAGAGCTTCACTTCCTAGGTACTCTCCATACCAGGCCAGAAGCACAAAGAAGACATTTGGGGACCAAATATGCTCATTCTTGCTTGCTAATAACATACAGTAGCAGCAGAGGCACTCCTATTTTCCCACCATCATATCTGTCGTCCCGTTTTTCTGGGCCTCCTCCATCTTCAGTCAGCTTTACTTCAAAACCCAACTTACTAATCACTTACAGAGGGCTCCTGGCTAAAAGAACCCTCTATCAAATAATTCCATCATGTATGTGGTTAGTAAGGAAGGGGAATGTTAGCAGTGCCCCATACAGTATTTAAGTACATACATACACAGAGACAGCAGCTTTCTTGTTCCTTGTTCCTACTCTTCCTTTTAGAACTTATCTGCAGTATGAACACTATGCCAGGTGATTTGGTTCAAGTATGTTGTCAACTTGTGGCAGGATTGCTTATCAATACAAGTTTGATCAAGTTAAACCATTTATCATACAATCCCTTCTCTCAGTAATACTCTCATTTTTATGGTTGCAGGAATAACTGATTTGAGCATAAAGATGCAGGAAACAGCATAGTTAAGTTGCCACAACTCACTTAATGCAATTTATTAGTTGTTAAATAAAATACTGTTCCATGACAAAGCAAGCATTTTCTCTCATTATTAATCTGCTTCACTCTATGCTTACATATTTACTATAGTTCATTATCTGGTACTGAACTTTCTTAACCAGAAAGGGAAATTTTAAGGCACTTTTTCCATAACTGTGGAAAAGAACTATGAAGTGATCATGCATATGCATGCAATTAATAAAACAAGTACAGTATGTTCTTAAGAGATTCTCACTAAATTTTATTAAAATAGCTTTAACACCCCCCTGCCCCAAGCTATGTGTATTCCACAGGACTGTTTAAGATGTGTATGAAGAAGGGCCCTAGTGCAAATGGCACTGCAATGAACATGCTAGCAATTAAGTTCTTTGCTCACTTTCAACTTGTTCAACATCTCAGTGTAAGCACAAAAAGTAAGTGCTCCAGTTAAGGCAGACTGCTAGTTATCAGATCTAAGGTTCTATTATACTATATTAAAAAGTGAAATAATAAAAAAAACCATTAAGCAGCCAACTTTTTTTCATTATTGCTGTGGAAATTCTAAACTGTCTTTTATTACCATCTGGTGGTCACATTAAGTTACTCAGAAGCATTGTAGTCCTTGGTGCACAACATCAGAAGTTGCCTGAGGTATGCAAGAGGTAGCAGGTGAAAGACTGAAGTAGATCTGTACTGATTAAGCACTACTGCATCATAATACATAATATTTTGCCTAAATATGTAGAGTGGTGCTTTTTGATTTTAAGAACTAGTAATAAGTGACCCTACTTATCCCCACACTATTTCTATTGCAGTTATTTTTTATTTTTCTTTTAAACCAGTATTGCTTTTGTGCATTTCTCTTGACAACATACCCAGCAACACACATACCTAAGGAGAGTGCACACGGAACTAAAACTTTTCAACCCAAACTAAGAGAAGCAGCATTACAAACAAAATGAATAACTCTACTATTAATCTTGTGTATACAGCTGAAATGAACTTCTTATAAAGAGAAATTTTATTTTAACATTGAATTAGAAAATTGCTAACACAGGGTCTAATTTTGCTTATTTTACTTATAAAGGATGCATCTTCTATTATCTGATATGGACTCAACACCTATAAAACCAGTTACTCGTTCAGCATTTAATAAGCCAGAAGCCTGGACTTTGCAGCTGGTGAAAGAGCAAATACAGGACAGTTCATATACTCCATTATAAGTACAGCTTGAGCTTACCTCAAGAGGCATCAGTCTAATCAGTGTGGCAAAGCACTGAGTAGCCATAAAACGCACACTGTTTGTCTGATCACTCATTCTACCCAGAACTGGAACCACTAGAAGAACAATGTATGGAACAATACCAACATCCAGCTGCTCCATTACACCTGGAGTGGTTGTTAAGGAAATAGTTTTCAACAGTTCAGGTTTGTCTGAAAAATATTCACCCAGGAGATTTCATATTCAGCAAGTTATTAATTGTTACACTCAGGTGAATGAGATTTCTAGTAACAAAGCAATCTAGAAGCAAGGAAATCTGATCTACCCAATTACCTCTGGCAGCAAAGTGCATGGTTTGAGAAACTGAATTACCGCCACCAAAACATCACTTGGTAAATAAAATAAGGGCAATGGAAATAAAGGTTTCTTCTGTTTCCTTCCACAGGAGAAAAAATAGCTTAATATTTTATTTCATTTCTCCTCACTTTTTTTTCAGGCAACTCTTTTTGTTCATTCAAATGAAACAACAGCAAAGAAGTTTCTGCATTTTTGAATATGCAAGCAAGGATACACGCAAGTGCTTCAATTGCGCCTTCTTGTTTGGTGTTGTCATCTATTGCTCCCAGCCATGGTAAAACTTTCTCTAGAAAGATATTCATTGTTTCCATGGTTGCTATTTTGCTCATAACACCCACACAACGGGAAGCCATGTGTCTCACAGCAGTGCTGGGATGTTGAAGGCACATGTAAAGATGAGGCAAATGCTGTATTAACTGAATAAAAGAAAAAGGTGGGGGGAGCAAAGGTTAATATGAATTATAAACAAATCAGTGAATTTTTTTGAACTATAGAGTATTTCAAAGTCATTTAAGAATGCTTAAAATGGCTCCTTTGTAAGATATAATTGCTTTCAACTAAAAAATTATTTCAGAAGAAAAAGGCAATTTGAACTTTGAACACATTTTACTCCCCAATACAGATAAAATTCAGAGTAACAAAATATTTAGCATTTCAATCAAAATCAAAATTACTGAAGCCCTTCGTTAGCAAGAAAGTGTTTCACACTGAAATAGAGTAAAAAAAAAAAATTATTTCTTCAATACAGATACATAGATTTAAGAATTCCTTCCAGCTAGCATATTTGTCCTAGAGTCATCCCCTTTGTATTTAGGCAGATTAATTACTACTCATGTTGGGAATCTCAGTAATTCTGTGTGACAAGGAGGACACCCAGAAGGAAATCTGCATCTCCCCAGCAGGGTATACACATGTGTCTTTGGTGTATGTATGTGTCTTCTTTTTAATCAGTGCAGATATGCTTCTGTATTGATACCTAAACAGACGGTCAGGCTTTTCCTAGTGCCAAAGTCCCTAACTGCTAGCTTTGATGAACCAAGTTCAGCCTCTGTGACTTTCTACAATTTTTTTTTAAACTGCATACAGTATTAGCACCATTAAAACCAATCTACACAATAACTACATACCTCGTTTATGTGTATATATATATAAAAAAAGTCTTTCCATGGCATATGCTAAATGCACTTGAAATCACTTCAGTATTTTATTAAAATAGGTAAAAAAAAAGATTCTTCTCCCATGATTCTTCTCCATCTGCTCAGAACTCTATAGCCCTTCATTATACCCATCCTTTCCAGAGTTCTGGCCTACTTATTCTTTGCATGCAAGCCTTGTCACTTATTTTTGTCATCCTGTTGCCCTTCTCTGTCTGTCTTCTAGAGCTACTATACTTACTCTGAAACAGAGTACTGCAGATAGGCTACTACTGAAAATTGTGTTAGATGCAGGCATAAGGATAACTTTCTTGTTCTGTTGCTTCCTTAACATTTTTTTAACCTTCAGTGATACTTTCTCATAACTATCCCAACTCCAGGATTCTCTCCTGAGTAGAAACAGACAGTTCAGAGAAACAGACCATTTTAAAATTATCAAATCTAGTCTACTTGGGAGTAAACTGAAGTCTCCATAATTTTTGTATTCCCTGCACAGGCAGCCTTTCTTACAACCTTCAACCTGGTACAGAGTATCCAGGCAATAAACTGACTTTAGTACTACCACTTTGCCCCCACTCTGGCCACACAAACTGCATGTCAGTTTGTGCACTGTAAGTCAAATCTTTTCAGTCAGCCACACAGTGCTGCATAACCACATTTTTATCTTTACTTTCATAACAAACAGAAGGCACCATATTACCAGTCTGTTCTCCAGGTTTAGGAAATACAGAATTAGAATAAAGCAGAGATGCTGATTCCAATGTAACACAACAGCATAAATACCATCAAAACTCAAATGTTGAAAACAATCTTGTTTGGGATCTTGTTCAAAAAAGGGTAGGCAAAGGCTAAACTTTTAGGTAGCTGTTTACTTTTGTGGTTTATTCTATGACCTGCACAGATGACAGAATTTAACATCCTACAGAATACAGGGAAAACCAGCTTTTAAACGGTACATCTTGACTGCTGAAGGCTATGCCTTCAGTTTGTCAAGACTAGGACAGAGGATCTGGAGAACAGGCAGGCTAATGAGTGACTAGAATACCATTTGAACAAACTAGAAAAATATCTAAAAAACTAAAATAAACAATTTAAACCACTAGTGATAAAGAGACTGAAGTGTTTCATGCAAAAGCTAATTACCAGAGGATGTAGCTGAGTATCCATCGAAGCTGCTGTTGTTTCAAAAACCTGCAAAGAATTCACCAGCTCCTGGGCAGGAGCATCTCCTTTTTCCAGTAAGGATTTTCGGTCTGGTAAAAACAGAAAATGTGTTCAGTTTAAGACTGACACACTGGCTCCAGCCTGCCACCCCTCCCAGTTTAAAACAGAAGTGTAATTACCAAAATTATTTATGTGAATGTTGTTCCTTAACGAACCAACCATAGCATCCCAGAGATGTGGCAATCCTGTTGCCATTTCAGCACCAAAATGTTTAGCTATAGTAGATAAGGCAAATTCAGCTCCTCTTCTCTGTACAACATAAGGTTTCTGAGCCTAGAATTAAACAATTCGACAGTGGGGCTAAGTACATTTAATAACAATTATTGTCAAGGGTGACCTCTCATTTCATAGGCATTCAATTTTGATTGTGTTTATACCCATCTACAACACATTCACTGATAGTTTTTTTCCCCCAAGTTAATTACTTTATTCTTTATACAGAATAAAAGAAAATATATTATTTTTATAAAGATAAAAAATCTTTTATAGCCAATTATTTCAAGCCTATAAATTTGAGATTTGGCCTTTGCTGATATTGGTCCATTCCAACAGGATGTTTCCAAGTGGTTCCAGAACCTCAGATATTGCCAATACAGTGACACCAAGAACAGTACTATACTAGAAAACTCACAATATTTGATTTGTTATTTATCCCCCACTCTTGCTCCCACCCTCTCTGGCAAGCAGAACTAATAAGAAGCACTAATAATTAAGAACAAAATGCACAACACTGTTTAGGAGTTCACAGTCCTACCTACAATCTTATTAAAACATGCTGATGTGTGAAATTAATCAAAGGTAAGAGTTTAGGACATCAAATATGGAAGTCACAGACATGCTGTTTTCACACAGTCATAGTTCAGTTGCTGGTTTTAATGCTTCAGAGGCATCCAGCAGCAACTGAGATGGACCAACACTAACATAGGCAGGACACAGTTGGTGTCCTCTTGTGTTTGTTCCACACTTTGTGGAAATCCATGCATGAACTTATATTAATATTCTATAGTAAACATAACATTTCAGGAGTTATTAATATTGTTAATGACAATCATTTAAAATAAACACATGCTGCTTGCATCACAAAACCTCTTGTTTTGTGATGCAAAACCCCGGCCATCCCTACTACACTGGTATCAATTCCAATGAATTCAAAGTAATGGAAAGGAGGGGTGGATGTGAAGTTGCAAATTCAAGCTTTTGAAATATACCTCATCAAGTTCTGTAGGAATGCTTCCACTGCTGCCTGTGGGAAGATCTGCAATAGGGGCTTTTGGAGCTTTTGGAGTAGGACCTCGCCGACTTGTGATGGCAAAAGCAGCTTTCTGATGTCTGTACAATGTAATTATTCCCCTGTGTTTAGTAACTGTGTGCTGCATCCCATCTTTATCAGAGTTGGGCCCTAAAAGAAAAGGAAGAACAGCTGACAACAATTTAAACTGCAGTTTAACACACAGGGGGATGTGAGAGCTACCTACAAGTCATCTGCTGATTGTGCTTTAAAAAACTCATAATGTTTTCCACCCTTGAAGACTATGGCACTTGAGTACAGAGAAGAATTGCTGTGCTAGGAGCACATTAGACTTAGAAGGAAAAGTTAAATGCGTAAATAGCCAGAAATTATAATTCAGCAAGAAGCACAGGTAACACGTCAATCAAACAAAACATTTGCACAATTTCATTTCATAAAAAGCACATTATGCTCTAAAGTTTCAGTCAATTTATATTCTGTGTCCTTTAACACAGTTCAGTACTTCTGTCATGATACAATAAAAGATGCCATCAGTATCTTTGAATTTGTTGATGTGTCTATTTATACTAAAGACCTTCATTTTCAGATATGAATGTTATTCTACTCTGAGATAAAGGAGGACACATTCATTAAGAAAGAGTAGAACATACAATAGTCAAACCTTAAAGCAGGTCACAATCTTTGAGAGTATTAAGATCTTAATTTAATTAATCTGGGTTGTTCATTCAATCCATGCATTTTCAATAATGGACCATTTAAAGGATCCATGACCATTGCATGCATAGGATTGTGTTATTAATTTTGAACACTGTCCTAATCTTTTTATCTTATGATTAGCCTATGGAATGTAACACAAGTCACACATTTTTGACAGGCTACTTTAATTTCCATTTTTATTCAATAACATCTCTAAGTGAAATGTAATCATAACTAGGTTATAACCAAACAAGAGTCAATACCTGAAAATTGGAATAGAAGTATTTTATAGATATACAGATATAAATCAACAGACATTAGTTGCACACAGTTTAAAATACCTAAATGAAATCACTATTAATAAATACTCAGATACTGGCATTTTAAAAATCAATGAATACAAGCCTCATTCAAATACTCATTTCAACAGTTCAGAAATAAGCACAGACATATTAAAAATCCTGGCAGTCTCAGATGTCATACCTTTTGAGTTTTCATGGCTACTCTGAGGCTGTGCAGGACATGCTGCCAGTGGGGTAAGATGTGGATCCACACACAGGGAGTTGCAGAGATTTTTTATAATCTTTGAGTTGGGACAAGGAGACCTTGTTGTACACTGCTGAAGTAACTTTGCTATACATGAAGCCACATAGTTTTGTACGAGTGTATTCTCTTCTTTTTTGATAGCTTCCATTAAGGGTTTTATAACAGGATTTAGTTTTTCTGGAAGTTGCTGCAAGTTCACAACTGCACATGCAGCAAAGGTATGGACTCGCAGATGCAACACTTGCCATTCTTGATTTGTTTCTGTAACAGTCATTTGGACTTGCTGCCTTTTACTGTCCAACTGTTGCAGAACTTTAGGATTCAAAGAAAAGGATGATGTCACCTCATTGAAAACAGAAGTAACCTAAGAAAAAGGAAATAAAGAATTACAGATCTGTTTAATTTTCTATAAAAGGGGATATCCTCATGGCATAATATGAGTCACTTATCACCATCTCCATTTCCCCAGTAAATAACAGGAAATTCTCCAAAATGTAGTTTCTGGAAATCCTGAACTACCAATCAGAGAAAATCAGATATATCATAGACACTTAAAGTCCAGATTCCCAAAGCTACAAGAACAGTTTAGGTACTCCTGCAAATTTAGATTGTCCCATATCTGTCAGTTCTACCCAGATATTCTGGAAAACATGTAGCATGTGACAGATTAGCAAAGCAGAACGTGAATAACAAGAATCCAAAAACGATGTGTAAGGTGCCTGTGCATGAACAAGTTGTTTCTCAGCAGACTTTCTTTTGAGGAAAGAGACCGAGATAAAAATCTAGGAAATACAGCACAACAAAGTAGCTGCATAATTTTCCATATCCTTCCCCACTCAAAACTGGTTGACTATTGTTGCTTAAATCTTTCACTAGAAAAAGATTAAAAGCAGATTAAAAGGTCAGGGTGCAAGGGGGAAGAAGGTCTAGAATTTACATAGTCTATTTACAAGTCTTCTGACAATGGTTTTGAAGCCTGCTTTTTTTTCCTTGTGAGAAGATTTCAATAGTGAATCCACACCTGGGATCAGAACTCAGTTTTATTCTCCCATTACCTTGCATTGCACTTGATTTTTGTCAGACTGTAAACACACCTCAGGGGAAACAGTAGGAGTCTTTGCACATTCTTTTTCACGAGATATGCAAAGGTCACCACATTATTTCTGCAAGTTACTGTGTATGTAATAATTATACTGAAGGTGCATTTCAAGACAAGAACAGATTTGGAGGAGAGGCAGGCATGCCTCTACTTACCAGCTCATTAGCTTGATCTATGGTAAATACACTGCAGTTTACTCTGTTTCCAATATCAATGTGTGCATCAGCTAGCAATGAGATGAGTTGTTTACATTCGTTTTGCATTCGTGTAAAAGGAACAGCAATTTCATCGTAATAGAGATGTTCAGAAAGGACTCCAAGTAAACGAGGTTGAACACAAATAGCCACAGTTGTACACTCCTGTAAGAGAAAAACACAATTTTCTTTTCTTAATAAGCACAATTTCTTTTTTCACTCTTGGGCAGCTCAATCTAACTACAAAAATCCAGTTTCCAGAGGGACTATTAACATTCATAACCCAGAATATTAAAGATAAAGGATTAGGAACAAAAAGTCTGCCACTAGAAACGATAGTGAGTAGAGAAAAGACAGTCATCTTCAAAGGAATCACTGACCTTAGATAAAAGGCATCCTGAGAATAGATTTGTTTGTAGAAAAAATGTGAGCATATTTACTGATTCATAGTTTTGACAGCTGGCATTTATCTACTGAGTCCTGTATTCCTCCACTGTCTAACAATCAAGATTTTGGTATTTAAATGCATGAACACCATTTTAGCTTACCTACTGAAATCTTATTTTGAGCTAAGTATCACACAACAAGCAGTGGATTGAGATAGTAAGTAAAATTTATTTTTGCTGCAGAAACATCCTACCTTTTGCAAGGCAGCCCACTCACAGATTACTAACGCAACACTAATCCTCTGCAAGGCAGATTTAGAATTCAAATGGAAGAGCAGTAGCTGAGCTAATGATTCAGCTGGCTTTATTTCTTGAGTAACAGTATTTACACCTGGGTCACAAATGCAGCAACAAAGTGCTCCCAGCAACCTGACAAAACAAAAAAACCTGTCACTTCAACATTATAATTATTCTGCAATCAATGATTCAAAATGAAGATGCAAAAACATGAATTATATTTTGCCAAAACCACTATATATTATATAAAAAATACATTGCTTTTAAGTATTTTTTTCGTATTTCCAGTAAACTGACTTTGCTGCCATCATCCGAGCACGCATGACAACGTAATCCCTGGTTGCTGGATCTTCTGCAATGCTGTCTGCTCCAGCAATGTATTCCTGAATCACTTCCTTGTTCTGGGTTTGACCTTGACGCAGTTTAGCACCGGCTTTTTCCTATGGAAAAAAGGAAAGGTTGAAACTGTGTTTGTAATGAAAAGATTAATTCATATTCCGTAACAATACAAATCACCATACCATGAAAAAACTGGACTAAGACAGAACACTTCCTGGGTAACAGATTTCCTAAATCATACTTCGTAAATCTCTCTACTAACAGTATTCTGTAGTCCAATTAAATGTATGCTACATTCCTTCACTATAATATTAAGGTTAATATTTGACATACAGCTGACAAACACAGAGGAAAAAGGAAACCTCTCATCATGCTTTCAGAAATAACACAAAGCTTTTAGATTTAACTCAGTACTGCAAACAGATGGCTTTAGAGCCACATAAATAGACTTTATAATGTATCCACGTAGAGAATGTTACACAGCAGAACTTAATTCTTGGATAATCTCACAAGAACCCTTTTGCTCTACAGACTTGAGGCTTGTAAGAATTTACATTTAGAACTGTAGAAAGGCACCACCACTCCCCTCTAACACCCTTAGAATGTGTTTTATATACAGCTAAGCAATTTCCTACTTTCCTCAGAACAGTCAGGGAGGCCATATTTCACTTACTTTGGACCTGGTTTTTACTTCTAGCAACATGTTTAAGTCAATCGGCAAATGAGATGGCTGCATCATTAAGCAGAGCCAGGCTCCCATCCATGGACAAGCAGCTGCAACAACATACTGTACAGATGCCTTGTTTAACAGTTCCAGCCACACCTTGGGAAAGAACCACAGCAGAAACCATGACAAATTTGTAAGTGGTCTACATAAGATCATACACATGCTGAGAAACTGCAGGAACACTCTCATTTGCTCTACATTTGACAGTAAAGCAGATATGGGGAAATTGCAAGTATTTAACATGAGCGCACTATTCTTTATCTGCAGAAACGTAGACAGGATTTGAAAGAGCAAGATACACAAGCACTATATCTAGGTGGTAAGTCATGCAAATACCTTGTGAATAAGATCCAGAATTTCTTGGTTGCTTTCTAAGATACAAAACTGAAATATGTGCCTCAACATGTCTTGCAGAATTGGAGTCAGCCAGGTTGAAGAACTCTGAAACAAGGATATCATATGAACAAGCATATTCCAATATGTATCACAGTAATACACTAATACCTCTAATTCTTACCTGGTCTTGGGTAGACAACAGTGTGAATAATGTTTCCAGTGCTGCTTTTCGCACAGAAGATATTGTGTGATGCAAGAATGGCCACACTCGTGGGACCAAAACTGTTAGGGATTGCTGAATACTACAAGAAAGGGAAATGTAGAGGCAGCGTCAGGGATAAAAACACACACACACAGAGCTAAGTTAATTTTGTTTATTATTTTATCCAAAAGAAAGCTTTAAGAAAGCAAAGTATTGCATGTACTTGGTGATTTTAAGTGAAGGATCAAGTTACTACAGCTTATACATTTAAAATAGTTTGAGTTCATATCTTTTTTCAGGAAAATACTGGTTTGGGTATTTTTAATACTGGTATAGAGAACTAGTCAATTTAAGCACATATTTTTACCATGTTTTTTTCCCAGATTATACTTTAGGCTTTGTTCAACTGTTCAGAAAAAAGGAGGGGCCATTTCTGTTCTGAAGTTGCTATTAGGCAGTTATGACTTTACAATTAATTAAAAACAAGCTTGCATCTTTTTTTACATGAACTGGCATATCAACTGATTCAACTAGCATATCAGCTGATGCAAGTAGTATGTGTTGAATTAAAGACTGCATTAGTAACAAAATTTCATTCTTTATTTTGGATTTGGGAAACCACCAACTCCAGTAGTGCCAATCATATAGGATGAGAAAAATCAAATGTGTACAGCATCTACCTTAAGAGCAGATACTCTGAGTTTACCATGTGTATTGTGAAGCAGTCACAAAATTACTAGTTGTACCATTTATGTGAATTTATGTTTGGAGCTTATTTCAGAACTATTTCAATAGCAAATTTCTACACATTCATCAATGTGTTTTAATATACACAGTTTGGTCTCATTTGGCATTTGTCTGTTCCTTGTTAACAAACAAGATGTTTGTGGGCAGGACCACCATGTGAGTGGAGCAAATACCCTTTAATAAAACACCCATGATGAATGGAGAGAGACAGGGGGGGAAAAAAGTCACATATAAACCATGTCTAGTACACTTCTTAATTCCTTTGCTGCATTTCACTAACACAATGAATAGAGAAGCACTGTCATAACCTTCACTTTATTAAAAAACTAGAGTAGAAACAAAATAATGAGTTTAATTAATCATCTCCTTAGTACATGATTTGAAAGAAACTAATGATTCCAATTTGACAATAAGTGGACACTCAGACCTCTAATACCAAAGCAATACTAATTGAAAAGTTACCTGCATTTGCGGACCTGAGGGTAAGTCAGAAGGGATGAAAGAAGGATCATGATACTGTTTGTGGAAGCTGTCAAGTCATCCAACTCCAGGAGTGCATCCCACAAGGTATTAAGAATAAAAGGCACCTATACAAATAAGCAGAGGAGGTTTATAATTTTTTTTTAAAAAACTACTAGACCTCTAAGTATTATTTTCTTTGCTTAGACCAAAAGTGAACTTAAAACCATTCAGTCACCTTCTGAGACTGAAGCTGGACCAGGCTTTCCACTACTGGTACTAAAGATGCTGCAGCAACAGCTCGGACATCATCATCCAGATCTTGCAGACCTTCAATTATTGCAGGCAGCACTTTAGGCAATAAAGTGTTGATCATGTCCTGCCAAAAAGATCAAAAGCATTTTTAAACCAAAAAAGCTTATAAAGATACAATCAGCTAAGATGTACTCTTGTGTGTATAAATGAACCTGATTGTTACAAAGGGATGATGCAATCTAAATATTTTAAGTTACCATTCATGAAATCAAACATAGGTTATCAATCTAATGAACTGTAAGTCAGCTCAGTTTTGGTATAAACAAAGCTCAGTGTCTGCAGAATACCACCACAGATAGCCTAAAATTCTTGTACCACTCTGCTCTGTTACCTCAAATACTAGACCAGGCAGGCATATCCTCTACTTAGTTTTCTGCGAGCACTACTTGCACTATATACCTGCAGCATGGATATAAAAGTGCAGTCACACATCTCAACTCACAGGACTGCAGTGCAAGCAAGCTTGCTCTATCACACCTATCGACTGCTCAGCCACATCCTCAACTCTGAGCAGAGACTTTTGATCCAAAGTTCTCTACAATTTGTCATGAGGGTTATTACCTGACGTACTGCCAAAGCATACTTTATTCCTAGGAGACCACCATGTCTCACTTCCCACTGTTCCTGTGTAAGCAGCTTCAGGAGAACATCCACAGTTTTATGAACACCAGTTTCATTCATGTGTTTCAATACTACTCCCAAAGTCTGAGCACAAGTCTCACGTACTGGTGCCACTACCTAGGAAAAAGTAAACAATAAAACAGATACCTCTGTATGAAATTTTCACTTAAAAAGAGTCAGATTACCAAGCTGTTATACAAACAAAGGTGAAGTTTATGCATCAGTTATTTTTTAATAAGCATCTGTGAGCAGTTATGAAAGGGACATGTAGCAGCACTACACAAAAAGCACAGCCAGGCTGCTGCAGTGTTATCTCCTGCAGAAGCCTGCTGATCTTCCTGTTCCTGCCAAGATAGCTTAAACTTACTTCATCTGAAACAAAGTCTCCAAATCTGTCTAGTGCAAACACACAAAGAAGTCTAATAACCAAGTCTTCTAGCCACTCCTGATGCTGCTGAATCATCTGTAAGAAGAAAGAAGTTGAACACCTTAAGTACATTTATTCATAAGGCATTTCTGATATGCTTACTTTAGCTAAAATCTGTAAAAGACAAGACAACAAGTGTTCACATTGATTCAATATAGTTCTCCTGCAGAGACAGGCCAAGCCAAGTAGTCAGCTCTAATTCAACTCACTTGGATTATTACAAACATCATAACCGGGTTGTTTTCTCCTCTAAAAACACAGTACCTTCATCAAAAGGCTAGTGTCCTGCTTTCAGCTGGGACAGAGTTAGGTTTTTTCCTCAGTAGCTGGTATAGTGCTGTGTTCTGGAGTCAATGTAAGAATAATGGTGATCCCACATAGATGTTTTGGTTGCTGCTACATCATGCTGACCCTAAGTCAAAGATGTCTCAATGTCGCATGCTCTGCCACCATGGAGGTACACAAAAAGCAGAGAGGAAGCATTGTTGGGATAGGTGACAAAGGGACATTCCACACCACAGACTGTCATGCCCAGTATATAAACTAGGGGAGGTATCCAGAAGGGGCTGACTGATGTTTTGGGCCAGGCTGGGCATTGATTGATCAGAAGGTGGTAAGCAATTATATTGTGCAGCACTTGGTTTTCTTGGGTTTTAATTCTTCCTCTCCTTTTCATTACTATTATTACTGTTACTACGATTAGTACTATTATTACAATTTTTTACTTTGTTTCACTTCTTTCCTGATGGTCCCCTAAGCTTCCCCATACCACCAGAGTGGGGAGTGAAAAAGAAGCTGTGTGATGCTTCATTGCCTGCTGGAGCTAAAACACAATAGCTTGACAGCATCTTGTAAGGCGGACAATTTATTTCTACAGAGCACACAAAGTAAAGTCATTCAGATAATCTATACTGACGAACAGCAACACATCCTAGGCAAGTTAATTAATATGCTGGAAGCATATTTACAAGTAAACAAACTCTAAAGCAGTACCTCCCTGTGGGAGACCCAGTGAAAAGAACTTTCTTTTCAGTTCCATCTCCTCCAGATTTATCAAAGCTCATCTTGAAGCTCTGGCCTCTGCTAGAGAGCAGTAACTCTAATCTTCTATCTCACAGCAGAAGCCCCATAAAAACAACTCCTTAGGCATCATCCTTCTCATCACCACTATGTGCCTAGTAGGTCACCACTTCCCTTGAGAACTACCTTTGTAATGAACAAAACTTAAAGCATATTCAGGATTTCATATTCCCATACATGCCAAAGAATTATACCCAGCATAGGGCATACACAGCAGGCTTTGAAGCTAGCTGGAGTACACACGCTTTCCACAAATAGTTAAATGGTTTAAAGTATTTTATCATTGCAGACTGCGCTATTAATCAGCCATCTCCATTGAACAAATACTACTCCACAGGGAAGCAAGGACAGAGGTTTTGCTTTCCTTATTTACAAAGCATACAGAAGTACAGTGATTAAGCCAGAAGCTCTTCCAGCTGCTTCTACAGCAGGGGAGTTAGTAGGAATCTGAATGAAATTCACTATTAGTAAACAAGCTATTACTGTCAGGATATTTATTAAAAATTGTTATCCTTTTAAAAACTATTTTAATTCCTTTTCTCATAATAAAGAGAGCAGGTTGATGTAGTCCTCTTGCTATTTAAGCAAGTAGTTAGATGGTCTGAGACACTACAAGAGTTACATAATCAACCTGTCAATTTGTGTTTCAGCACAGCCTTTCCAGGACTTGAAAACAGTATATTCTAATATGGAAGCTAGTGTTTAATAACTTTATATACAATCAACATATTAATGGCTAATTATACAGTAGTACTGGGTTCTGCACAGGCCTTTTAAAAACGATGTCTTGCCACTTGCATACAGTGATGTCATCCAGATGATTCTGAGCAGAAAAGTCTTTATATTCCCCCACATCACACACCTGTTGCAAAGTATTTTAAGAAGTCTCTTTTATAAACTTCATTTAAGTAAAATATGAAGCCTACATAACTGGAAACTTACCTCCTCTAAAGAGCTATCTCCCATTTTACCACCACTTTTACCATGAGCTTTAAGTATCTCTCTCAGTCCAGTACCTGCACCATGTCGAACCTAAGAAAGTGAAATAAAAAGCCAGTTTTAAAATACTGTGGAACAGGAAACAAAACCAATGTTGGAAAATTGAAATAATACTACTGTTTTCTTAACAGAGACGTTTCAAGAGCTGCAGAATTAGCACTACTTAGACTTGTGGGAATTATTAGATCAAATCATATATTAAAATATTCACCTGTCCAAAAAAATCAACCTCCTTTTTCCCAAGTATTTTCCAGCTTATGAACAGAAGCAACTAGGAACTGCTTCTATTTTCTAACACATTATGATATTTGCAGCAATGCAGCCAACATACATTTACTTTTACCTCACTATGCTATATAGTACTAGTTTTCAAAGAGAAGTTTGATAAAATTACTGTTTTTATTAAGTTTATAAGTTAAAGCAAATCAATATTATAGTTTCAAGCAATTTATGTTTAATATTTTTCTATAACTGTCTGTATTTCTTAAACAGGGTTTGGATCCTCACTGATTATTCTGGAGTCTGCCAAACAAATTTCTGGGAATTACTGTTCAGCATAACTTACAAATTTGCCTTGCTTGACTGGATTTTAGAAATAAGTGAACAAGTGATAAGGGAAAGCAAATTATAGGCACTTGCGTGTTCTCACCAAACACGAACAGTTGAACACAACAGGAAGTGTTCTGGAAATAACGAAAGACCAGTAGAAAGATGTTTCTGTTTCTGATACTTTTGATATCTAACTGGACCAGTAATCAGCTTCTCAAGGAAAGCTCACTCAACAGATATACACAGTTGCAAAAGCAGAGTTTTGAACCAGGTTCTTATTGAGAGGCCTTTACATAAGTTAGAAGTGAAGTAACTCTTTTTTAAGAACAGTTCATATAACATGTTTGTTGCTAGCAGAAAATTGTTGCAGTTCATTTCAGGGCAGTAACAACTAGAATTGAGTGCTTGGTAGCTCCTCCCTTCATCAGACTACCTTTTATGAAATGCAAACGTAAGTGTCCCCCCCTATGTACAGCTCAGTGGCTGCTGGTTAAAGCTATAAGCAAGCCAATAAAAACCAGCCAGAGAGTCTAGTCTTAAATTCCTAATTGTTCATACACTAACAATTTATTTGGCCCAAGATGGCTCATGAGCTAGGTAGGTTTTACAAGTCAAAAGAAGGAGATTTTGCTAGTTAATGTCTCAGCTTCTGCAAACACAAACCAGCAAGACACAAATGTGTAAAGGAAATACCAGTAGTAGGATTCATCCTCCCTGACTTCAGTTTATGTAAGCATGACAAGCACTCACTAGTCACCCAAGTGACCTCAAGACATTGCAAGATGCTGCCAGAGAGCCACTTTAAACACCCATTTTGAGGCAGGTTAACCTGTTTTTCACACAGAACATACTGCAATAATGATTCTGTATTAATCTACTTCCCTTATTAAGATGTATCTGCCTTAAATGTATAAAAAAAGCTGTGAGAATGTCTACATACCAGAAGAAAAGTGGACCTGGCCTTCAACTGCAAACAGCCTGAATTAAAATAAGGTGAGGCTTTTTAGCTGAGATGTGGTGATGTGCTACACAAACATAATCATTCTTTTTCTGGGACAAAAAATAATTGTGGTGGTGCATATGATATATCTCTGTTCCCAAGCTTGAGAGCAAGTTGGCTCTGCTCATACTGACATCACCAAGACTGTGCTACAGACACACATAAGGATGTTAGAGTTGCTGTTAATATTTAACCCTTCAAAAGATAAACTTAAGAAAATTAAGTTAGTTGACAACAATTGTTGAAAATAAGTGGTCTAAGCAACTAAACACATAGCTTTTGTAGTTAGTAAAGGATTGATTCCCTTTCCTTTTCTAGTAGCTTAGCCACTGTTGCTAGCAACAGATTCACATAATAGTCCTCAAAGTCTTGATGAATCCAAGTTTGTTTTAATTGCTCAATCTTTTTTGAACATAGATTGATGTGATGTTATTTTGCTTGAATTTCCCATAACTGTCACTTATATAATGACTGTTTTTCTTATCTTTCCCACTCTCTGCAAGTATACATTACACATCTGTTTTTCATTCCCCTTTAAATGAGTCTTAAGTAACACTTAAGTTTGCTAAAAGCAAATTTGTCTTGGCTATGTAATCTGTATGCACAAATGATTTAAGTTTTGATATCTGGTAAAATTCTCTTAAGTTCTACATATACAATGTTTGCATTTATGTTTAAGCCCTTTTTAAAAAACTTATAGTTTCACCTTAAACAGTGCACATCTTACCTCCCAAGAAGGGTTAAAGAGATCATTGCACACCTCTTCACAAAAGCTTTCCAGAGGCCATTCATTTGCCTAAATCCATAAAAAATTAAGTATGAGATTAAAAAGGAAAGGACTCATGAACACTACTTATACTGCTGTCTTTTCATTCTTAAATGGCATACACAAAACTCCAAAAGCTTAAGTACTTTCCTTCATTACTGGACAGAACCAAAAAAACAATCCTCTTCCCCAGCTAAAAAACTTCATTGATTAACACTAGATCCCTTAAGAAATTTATGAAGTTTCGGTTAACAGTGTAATCTCTTCTCTATGACAATTAATGTTGATGTCCTGGAATTCACCTTTTCTTTAGAAACCATGCTGAAGACAAAAATTAAAGTTTCTTATTCTACCCAGTGATCCTTTAAATTACTTTAAACAACATAATAGACAAGCTTCAGTTTGAAAACACACTAGATTAACAAAATGGATCAATAGATCCAGCAATAAACAGCACCCTTTTCCAAACATATTCCACTTTTTGAAAACCAAAGCATATCCACTATCCTAAAATTTCCCAAAAGGAAACTGACATGGCTGTGGAAAGAAATTTTTACTACCATTAGTAAGTTCATATCATCACATACACAGAGCAACTGAAAAACAGCAAGCAACCAGCAGCTATTTAGCCAGTAATTATCATTAATATTTCAATTAGTTTTCCAATCATTTTCATGCAAATAAAAATTTAATTACTGAACTATGTCTGGAATACTATTTTTGTAGGATATAGACTTATCTAGATAGAATCTTCTTAAATGAACTTCTATGCACTATTTATATTCTGGTTTACCATTTCTTGATTTTTAGCTTTTAATTTTATTGAAACAAATGCACTTTTTTCCAAGACTAAGGTAATTGTTTTAATCTTCAACTATTAAAGATAGAACTTAATTTTAAATTAAGCCTAATTAAAGTACAGCAAAGATTAAATAAAGATTAAATAAGCATTTAGATCAAATTATTTGTGGCTCACTGTAATCCTACCATGTAAGTGTTTAGCACAGTTTTCCAGTTTAATACCCAGGCCTGACACCTGTAGCCACCTACTTGTGCTAATTTGGGTCATAAACTGCAACCAAAGGATTAAATGTGCTTTCTTCCTCAATGCTGTAACACAGTTAGAAGCTCACTTGCTTCATTATGCATAAAAGTAAGCTGGTTGTGACATTCCTCATGCCATTTCCCTGAATGCCAAAATGACTAAAGAATTTGGGCACATGAAGGAATTTTGTTTCAAATTATTCTGCTAAAAAACTGAATGATTGTTCCTGCTAATAGCAGGACAATACATCATACCTCTTCCTGAGCATTTTCTACCAATGTTTTTGAGTCTGTGGCAGGCTGGTTGATGACAACATTTGCAACTTTTCTTCTCTTTTCTTCTGGTTCCCCATCAGTGCTATCATTGCTGAGAAGGAGCAAGTGCATGTTTATGAACTTGGAGTATGCTTTAAGGAAAGTAATTACATCTACAATTGAAGTCTTCAGATATAATAAAGTATGGCAAGAATACAAAACAGAGGTTTAACACTGTGAAACACGCAAGATAGGCAAGTTTACATGTAAAAACAAAAAATGCAGTGAGGAGACAGCAGAATGCTGTCCCAAATTCACAATCCATCTCATGTTTTTCCAAGAAACCCAGCAGTTCCTAAATAAGATCAAGAATTTTGTTTATGAACACAGTAGATACAATAATATGTCACTATAAACTACAGTGAAGAACAAAGAACACAGCAGAAAACTGTATCCTAAATTTTTAGCTGTTCATCTTCTTAAAATCCCCCATTTTCATGCATTATTCTCAAGCCATACTAAATAACAGGGAAAAACCACACATTTCAGCTAGCATCCCATTATTCAAGATGCATCTGAAGCTGGGTCCTCAACAAAGGTCTCCTGGGAACAAGCACTGCACACAAATTTTCCACCATCAGCACAATTAGTACATAAGAGATTTAAGATGCAAAGACTGTAGGAAGTTTCTCAACAGATAAATCAAATCACAATCCCAGCTTAACTGAAATAAAAGGAAACCAGTTCACTATTATACCTCTTCTCATTAGCTTCCACTGCATCTCTGGATCTTTGTTTTGCAAATAGCTTAGCCATTCTTTTGGCTTTATTCTTTTGTCTACTGCTCATACCAGCTCGAAATTCTGAGTCAATTAACTCAGCAGCCTGAAGAGTCTGAAAGAAAAGTCATTCATTGTCAATTCTTCTTACGATGGAAGTCCTGAAAAATTCTCAAACGCACAATGCTCTTAACTTCCCCAACCCTCCATTTCAAACATTGCAGCAATTTGACATCAAATAATATTAACAAGCAACTACACGATGCAAGAATTCAGGAGGCCAAAGCATAGTACATTAGATGCCAATCATCTTACTTAAAATATTAATACTATAACCAGAGAAGCTCAAATAAAGCAAACCCACTGTATTATTCCTTGCAGTCAAATAGCCCAAGGTTTTACCTACAGGTTGTTTGTTTACTAGTAAAACTGAAGAAGGAGAATAGTCCAAATCTTCATCATTGAACAGATCCTCAGTATTCATTCCAATTGCAGCACCCATATCTAAGCCAAGTTTCTTTTGCAGCAACTTCCTCTGTCGTGCTATCCTCTCTTTAGGATCAATTTCACCTTAAAAAGGGGTTTTAAAAAGATGTGTCAGATTTCCAACCAGGTATTTTACTGAGGACTTGCTCAATGTACGTAACAAAGCCAAAATTTACAGGATTAAATTGAACTTGGCTAATACAATCTTCTAAAACAAATTGCACTGATACCCAGGAAGACCTTTTCAGCTACTGTACCTACACAAGCATTTCAACTGTGATCCAGCAAGATTCATTTTGGAAATTAACAGATGCCACCTCAAGAATGTGTGAAGTTTCAACACTAACTATAGAACACCTAGACTTTGGGAGCACCTATATTTACATAAAAAAAATATAAGATTTTAGCATCCAAGTAGAACAAATCCTCCAAACAACCCCAAATTTGTTGCTGGTAGGGCTGTCAGACTTCACTCTTTACATACACAGTACAGAAACCAGTCAGGAGGAGTTGGTTTGTTGTTTTGGTTTGTTGGTATTGTGGTAGGTTTCTTTTTCATTATCAGCACAAACTTTTAAGTAATTACCAATTATTGGGGTCATCTGGCATGATTTTGGGGTGTACACCAGGTTGAGCAGTAACTAGAAGTTAATATCTATACCAGTAAGTTTTTTTAAACTGCATTTAACTGACAAGAAAATATAAGCAACTTCCATTCTTTATAAAATATTTTTCCTTTCTACCATCATCTTAAGAATAATTGTCAAAGACTGATAATTCTAAAGATTATTTAAGTTACATTATGTCCATTCACATTGTCTACTTACTTGAAAAGGGAAGCTGCTATAAAACACGGAAGAGAAAGCAGACTATACATTTTCCCATGGGGTAAAAAAAGCAACAGCTGAAGATTTTTTGTTTCATTTTCTTATTTTTTATATTGTATTTCTTACTTATTTTAATTCCTGCAGTTTTTTATGTGAAATCACGTGACACTGCAATAAGTATCAGGTTTCTACGAACTGAAGTGCGGGGTTTCACTAGCCAAGGTAAAACTTCTACACCACTTTATTAATCTAGTTTAAAAGATGGTAAGCAATAAATTAGCAACCAGGCTGAAGAGACAGGACACTGCTCAAGTTTCAGCAGCCACAGGTTCTGCTCCTCACTGAGCTACTGATCTGTGTACCCTGCACAGAAACCATTACACATAGGGAACGAGGGAATCAGGGCTGCACGGTGAGATTCTTAACAACAGCATCACTTAATTTGGTGGAGAAACTGCTAGATGGCCTGGAATTAAGAGCAGGGAAGTACAGTAATAGCAAAAAAATAGCTTAAATGAAAATAATTCAGTGCCACTACACTGACAAACCAACTCTCAGCTAAAAAATAACAGAAAAATATTAGACAAGTCACTTGAAACAAAGAAACATCACACTGGCACTGGTATTTGATCTCCCAACTTTGTCAGTCTTATCACAGGATTTTTCATGCACTCTTTCTACACTTGAAACCTTCAAGGTTTTAAATAAGCCGCATCCTACTTCCGTATGTAGGAACAATTTGGGTGAAGAAGCAGTGATAGTGCCTGCACCTTTTAAAAAAGTACAGAAATCTTTGGTGCTTTTTCAGGTTTCCACCCCTTCTTCCCCACTGTACACATAGTAATACTCTTATGGCAAAAATCCAAACAAATAATGCACTCCCCCTAAAAAACTGTTAATTGAGGAAGAAAACACAAACCACTTATGCTGGGAAGTATTTTATGTCCTTATATACTAACATTCTGAGAATCCACAGATGGCTAGGTTCATAATGCTGCCATAAACTTTTTCAAATCAGTAAGTTTCCTTGTCTCAAGTAAAATATAGATACCTGATTTATCATCTTGGACTTCAAATTCTGCACCAGCAGATCCAAGAAGAGACGCACCATGTTTTAACAACCGACATATATCAAATCTGTCAAAACGCAACCGATCTGTTGAAGGTGAATCTTCATTAGGACTTTCTGAGCCTGGTTCTAGGTAGGAAATAAAAATAATATTAAGGACAATGTGATGAAATTTTTGTTCAAAATTCTGGCAGAAGGAAAAGCAAGAAATAGTATCTCCCCTCCAAAGAATCATCAGACACACAGCATTTTTATTCACGAAGTATAAAGGCTCCATTTTCACAAAGACAGACTGAAATAGGTCACTAAATGTACCTGAATAGAAAAAAGAAAGTTTTTCCCTTGATAAATTTAGCTTTTTGAAATCTTGGACACTGACCTAGCACCAGGTCTTCTCTGTACACATAGGGACAGCTTACAGTTTTGAACTGCATATGGCTCACAAATAGTATCACAAGTAGCACACCAACACTGATGTGTATCCCCACCAGCCAAGCATCCAAAGTAGGGAAGCTGGAGAGTGGTCTGAACAGGTGTGGGAAAGGGCTGCTGATGCCTAGCTGTGAGCTCTTCTCAAACAGTACCTTTTTCTCAAACACACAATTATCTTTTTAATTTCATTAACAATCTGATAGGCAGATGTGCAAGAACTGGATAATTCATTTAAAAGGGTGTTGTACTCTAACAGGTTACTCAATTTCCATGTACATGCTAGAATTAATCCTTGAACTAGACAAGTGAAATGAACTTCTGTCATTGGGAAGATAGAGTATACAATAGCAGAGTCCCTGCCTTTGGTAGAAGGTGTTGAAACTAGATGATCTTTAAGATTCTTTCCAATCCAAACTATTCTATGATTCTGTAACTAAATTATTAGGTATATGGAGAAATATGATTTACTGGGAAACATAACTGCTCTGGAAAAAAACACCTTTCAATAACCTGATTAACAATGTCCTTAAAAGAGCTGCAACAAGTGGATAGAGGGCATCCAGTGAACTTAATACATGGATTTAAAAGCTTTTGGCAAGGATTCATATGAAAGAATAAACCAAAAGAATCAGGTTAGCACAGAGCTGGGGACAACATCCTTTTACAAACTGAAAGGTAGAAGTTAATTCTGGAATTTTCTGGGGCTCAGTGTTGGTACCAATTCTTTAATCAATGGAAAAAGACATTCACTTATGCACTCTTTTCCAAACACACAGGTAACAGTAAATTCTTTTGGGTAGCCCAAATTCACCATGGCACTAAGGAATCCAAGGAGGACTCCCAGAACAGACTAATGGGCAAATAAGTACATACAGTGTAAAATGAATAACCTAAACCATGCCTACAGAACACTGCATGCAATAAATATCTTGGAGGCACTTCTGACAGTTTTCTGCATTCATCTGTTTATTGAGCAGTGAAAGCCAGAGCAGACAAGAAAATACTGGGTCTCACCAGGAAGGACCCTGATGACAGGACTCTAAGCACATCATTCTGTCACTAAGTGTAAATTTCAGTACTCTAGAGATGTAGGTAGACTGTGTGGAGTTCTGTGCATCTCAAGGAGGACACAAGTAAGAAAAAGCACAGAGAAAGACAAAGATATTTAAAAGACAAAGCAGCTGTCTTGTGAGGAAAGACTGAAGAGATTGCAATTCTTGAATAAGAAGAGAAGCTGTTGGAGGAGAGAAAATACGATCGTTTACAAAAATAAAGACAATGGACAAGGAAAATGCAGAAGATGCTTGTCAAATTCAAAGCCAACAGAACTGGGAGGCACCAAGTGAAACAAATAAAAGATCATCTCAAACAGATGTGAGTTTCATTGTTGCTGTTTTAGGGAGTGTGTGGGCCAGTTTTTAAACAAGTCAGTAAATTTCTGGAACCTGTGCCACAAAGTTGTGAACACAGACAGTACCAATGGGTTTGGACAAAATCACTTAGTCCGTCACTCAACAATTAAGGAAACTAACATCCCTAACAAGAGGATTTCAGATGAAAAGAAACAGAACAGACTTAAGCAACCTGCCATTTCACCTCCCTCAGAAAGGCACTTGGGCTAAGGGAGCAGTGAAGGAAAGAGTTTATGTAAACCATCATGACAAAGTTAATTGGTTAAACATTTTACTATTAGTTATGCCTTTTCTTTATAAAAGCTTTATGAGAGTTCAAAGGACAAGCACAGGAATTCTGGAAGAAAAAGGTCAGGTACAACTGAGGAGGAAGATCTAAAGCAAAAAAGACGTTAACTTACAGTCCTACTTCACAGAATCACAGAATAGTCTGATTTGGAAGGGAGCCAGAAGGATCATCAAGTGCAGCTCTTAAGTGGGTGGCCCATACAGGGACTGAACCCGTGACCTTGGCGTTATTAGCACCCTGCTCCACACAACTTACATGCAAATAGAAGTCTATGCTCATAAAAAACCAAATGACGCACATGTCTTGAAAAGTTTCATATCACAGTTTGCATCAGATAAACAATGAGTTAAAGACAATCACTTTAAGGAGCACCTTGTTTTGATCTTGGAGTTGGATTCCACTCAGGTACATTTTTCACTATTGCTTCAACAGCCTGGCCAGCCGCAATACGAGTATCCCAATTCGTACTTCTTAAATACACTAACACCTTTAAGGAGAGATTAATACATAAATATAAGTATTTGCTTGAAATGTATTTCCAAAAAAATCCATCAGCTGTTATGCTCTATTAAAACACAATTACTTTAATGCTATGGATTAAGACAACATTCAAAACAAAAAAAAAAAGGACACAAAAACAAACCAAGAAATGCCAGCAGCCTTCTCTATAATGCTCACTGCTTAGCAGAACACTTGCCAGAGCCAGACCTTAAGTTTTTATAAGATATATTTGGTCCAATCAGTTAAACTGAAGCTTGATTTCCTCCAGGTACTGAACAAGGCTTGAGATGCATTTTTAGTTTTTTTGTTGGTTGGTTGGTTTGTTGCTGGCTTTTTTTCTACAAGGAAGCATTCAAAATTGATTAACAGACTTTAAAACCCTCAAGTCATTTAACCCAAGAAGTGATACAACATGGGTCACTTGAAGCAATATATGCTTAGTGTTTATCACTACGTCACACATCTGGAAAAACTATTTCTTTCTCTGAAAGCAGTTTCATGTTCATGACTCCTTGGCCACTCTGTTGATAGCATCAATTGTGGTGAGAGCATCTGTTCAATAAGAACAGAACTGAGGTGACTGAGCCATCTCCACCTGTCAGATATGGACTATTTTAGGTGGTTTTACTGGACTTGGTCAGATTGAAGTCTCAAACCAATGGAAAACTCTTCCCAACTTCCAGCCCTTTTAAAGATACGCAGCCTCCGACATTTTTAATGCTTTATCACACAAGCAAAAATCTTTAAAAGGCAGTAGAGCTTCTCTTTATAGAAGGTCTAAACTATACAGCAGATACTGTATATCAATATTGAATGCTAAGTGAAATGTCATTTATGCAATTATTTCAGAATCTGACGGAACAGCACCTTTAACAGAAACAGCCCCTAATTTTCTTTATTTTCTTACTTTTGAAAAACACAAGACCACATGCATTTTCTTCTTCCCAAAGAAGCACACTTTTAAACTAGTTTTATTCTCAGTATTAAAGTACTAGGGAAAAAAACATGCTTACTTTAGATAAGAGATTATTCAGTTCATGAGGATGCAGTTTCACTACTTCCCCAAGTTGCTGTGCAGCTGCTTTTCTCGTTACTGGTGTTGTACCGGTGTCCAGTAATATAAAGAGACGATCAAGCCTAAATGTGATTGACAAAAATCAAAAAGTTATGCTATTCATAGTTCGGTTGCCCGTTTCTATTAATATTCCCCCACATTTTTCAGTTTATGTAACTCAAAGAGATGTCTGACTGAAGACTGTCAGTTGGCAGGGGGAATAATGTACTATATTGCAAATACTAAGCATAGCTGTTCTAAAAGCACATTTAATTTGGTCACAGAGTAAGAAATGCTATTTTAAAAAATCTACAGTTACAAGTAAAAAATCAATCATTCCTGTCCTTGTTCTGTGAAAGAACATTTTCAATCTTGAAACATAAATCTGTTGTAAGTGATCATCAAATTATATTTGATAGAAAAAGCAGAGGCCTCAGCTGCTTCTACTGTGCATTATCACTTCTATCGACAACACAGTTTGTTATCTATAACACCAAACTCTGCTTCCCCAGGATGACAAATTTTTACTTTTCACATCTCTTCCCCTAAATTACCTGGAATACATAAACCCAAACCTCTTGTTGTATTTACAGCTTGGAAATCATCTGATGCTTCTGCCCTTCCCACAAAACACAGGGATTTAACCAGCAGATCTGTTTCCACAGTAACTCTGTATTTAGTGAAAGATTCCAATCATCTATTTGTAGAACAATTCATTTCATTCTTGTTTAGTTACTGAATGAGAAATGAAGTCTGTCTTTACATATACATTCACCTAACTATCTAGCTACTCAAATCTATGAATGAAATGATAAGTGTTCCTTATTCCCTCCACTGCAAGTGGGTTGATCAGAGCTCTCTTATGAGTGCCAAGTTTATGCATTAGTTATTGGGCATTATGAGGTTATTACTGTATATGAACCTAGAATCTGTTCACACAGTGCAATCAAAATTGTTTCTTCCAGCCTTATTATAAAATACTTCTCCAAGAACTGCAACAATACAAAACCAGACCTTACACAGCAGTGAAGCTCACCAGCCTGGCAGGATAAAGATATCCTGAACAACCTGTCTTCATAAATACACATCCTTGGTTTGAACACACACAGGAAAGGACAAACGCCTTATCCTGGTAAGTCTGTTGCTACTAGTCACATTTCACATAAATTGCCTTTGACATTAATGCAAATAACTTAAAGAGAAAAGAAAAAAATTGCCAAAACCTCTTTCTAACATCACTGGATTTTATATTTTCTTTGGCATGCTTAAACTGCACTTAATCCCAAATATATCTTACAACATGTCAAAACACGATAGGAATTGCAGTGCAGGGCCAAGGCAATACCAAAACCCAAATACACTCATAACTGGAAGTATTAGATTAAAAAAATTCTAGATAAAAGTATTTAAAATAATTTTTATTTTTTAGACATCTGTGATTTGCCATCCTAGAAATAATTCTCTTCCTCCTACTAAAATAGGTGTATTTCAATTACTGTAGATAAAACTAGAGTTTTAATTTTGTTTATTGTTATGATTTACTAGTTAGTAAGTTGTTTTAAAGTCACAAAAATTAAACCCCAGATGTATCTAGTCCAATAGTTTTGAGTGATTAGACAGTCAAGGAGAAAAAACTTTACAGATCCAGCACTTCTGAATCCCTGACAGTGGAGTAGTCATGAGAAACATACCAGGTACCTCATTAGTTGCCAGTATTTTTTCTTCAGTACTTTTGACAGTAATAACTCAACCTGATTTGAGCAATCACTATTATTCAATACAAAATACAGTGGCTTTCAGAAGAACCACTGTTTGCTCCAACTTGCTTGTTCTCACCCCTTTCATTTTTCAGCTCTGTGAAAATTCAATGTTCCATACTTAAGTTTGCCACACGCTCCTTTAACTATCAAATTATCTTTTTTCATCTCAAAGTCAAGCACAATGTACAACTTTGACCACTTCCTCAGCTAGAACTCTTCATGTGTCAAAAAACGAAAAACCACTAAGTTAGCCTACACTCAAAAGCCCAACTTGAATTCCAGACTTAGTTACAACACTACATCTTCACTCCTAAAACCCACAACTTTCTGAAGCTGTGTTACCTCCAAAATACAGTTTGTTTTGTTTGGGTTTTTTTAACCTAGTGTGCTTGGTTTGGAACTTGTTATTTTAAATTGTAATCTGCTTACCTAACACACAAATGCATACCAACCAAACAAAAAAAATATCTTTCACTTGTCTGACATCACTACAGGAAGGTTTCAGCTTTCAACTCCAGCAAAATACATGGAAACAGAATTAGCAAACACAGCCAACGACATCTGACTAACAGCAGTCCTGGTCACGCTAATCATTCTCTTTTCCTCCCGCAGAAGGATGTAAAATTCCCAAACTGTTAACACTTTGGAGCTATTACGGTTTTTAAATTAAGTGTTGGTGTTGCTGCAGCAGAGTATGGCAGAGCCTGAATTCTGCATGAGTTGGAAGGGTAGCACTGAAAATGTTGTCTATGATCACCAGTGCTAGTTGGTTTGTTTTTTAAATTAAAGCTTTCAGTCTGAGTTTCAATAAGAATGAAAAAGAGAAAAAAAACAACTAAAAATTCCAAGCAAATTAGTTTTCAGTATCTGCAGTTTAAAAAGAAGTTTCCTAAGTTCTGACAAGGTTTTCATTTTCAGAACAAACTAGCAGCCTCTAAACAAGTACTCAAGCCAAAGAGAACTAAATTTTCTAGTGGCATGTGGGTCTCTGCTTCTCATGCTAGACAGCACTGTAAGGCAGGGCACCACATGCCTCACATAATTCCCAGAAGTGTGAAGCAATGTAGAGGGAGATGCTCTACAATGCAGATAAATTTTTTAATTATTGTATTAAATACTTCAACTCCGTCAAAAGAATTGTTCTAAGCCTATAGAAGACACAAGCAAACAACAGAAACACAAGGAATACTTCAGGGAAGAAAAAGATTACAAACAAAAAGAGATTTATAAATTATTACGAAAAATAATTGTAAATTATTATGAACATTTAAACACCAATGCATCCTAAAAATTAAATATATCTCTAAAACTACTTTTTATGCACTTAAGTGCTGCAATCAGAACTTAAAATACAAGGTTCTTCACTTTTACCTCAAACAATGGTTTAGATTCTTCTATCATCTTCCAATCCCATGTCAACTACATCTCATCAACAGAACAACCATACAGGACTTTGATATGAACTAATGCCATATGGGCTCAGCACAAAGCACAACCTTTCTCAGAGAGGTAAATAATTACATCCTCTCACTTTAGAAATCCAAGATTTTTCTAGTCCCTGTTGAAGTACATCACAAAGACACTACTGAGAGCAACGAAGTTCTTATGATCAGCACCCCACTCAATTTTTTCTTCTAAGAAACACATTTTACACTGACACAATGTCCATCAGAAATGTTTCTGACGCAAGTGAAGGTGCTTAAGAACAGGCATCCAGTAGCGCTTGAGATGCCTCACCTACAGAAAAGCCACCACAACTAAGTGGTAGCACTCTCCAGGAACCACAGTGATTCCGTTTTCTGGTCACCAGTTTCGCACATTCAGCATTAAACCAAGTTAGACACGATCCTCACCCAGGAACAGGAGACAAATGCTGCAATAAATTACCTGTTCTTCATGCTAATCTGCAGTTCTTTGCTGCTGCCCCCAAACAAAGGGCTGATCTCCATTTGAAGGGACAGTTGCCATACTATTTAAAGGGAACTCCTGTGGAAACAGGATGACTGGATTTGAAAGCCCTTCAGCTCCAGAGGCATTAGAAAGCTAGTAGCTCAGTAATTAATGTCAAGATACAGGTATAAGCAACAGTCCCTTCAAAATGTTTGCAAAAGAACGCACATGCAGCTGCATTGTATAAAGATCCCAATTAAGTGTTCCAACTGGACTGGGACCCCACAGGACTTCAGATGATGAAACTTCCAACTTGTCACTTTCAATTAGTAGAATCTTAAAACAGACAGTGAACTGATCACTGCTGCCCCTGGAATGATCTGTTTGGACTTTACATCTCTGTGCCCCATCATATTAAACTGTCCTGAGAGGAATCTCTTTTAGTAAAGGCCACCTGGTACAAACGCCTTGTAACTACCTTAGCATCTCCTCCAACCCCTTAAAATTGTGTGAATGTACAAAAAATCCTTAGTGGCACAGTCCCTGGAAGAGTAATGTCAAGCTCTGCCTAGAGCTCTTTGAAAAGCTACTAGATAGCAGCCATCAGAAGGCAAGGGAATCTCTTAGAAGCTGATATTTTTGACATCCAGAAAACTTCCACCCAGGCACCATTTCTTAGTACAGAAATAGCCCAGACACATTGAAAACATCCCTAAATTAAACTTTAGATTTGACAAGGGTGAAATTCAACCTAAGTTCTAATGGAGTCTGAGCTTCTCTTGTTGAGCTGACAGTCCTCTGCTGTCACATCATCGTTTGGTCAAATCCCAGCTTGGTCAGCTCTAAACGCTCGCTCATATGAATGGTTAAGTAATCAAATAAGCAACTTTCAAATACACAATCAGCCAGTAAGAGGAAAAAACCAAAAACACTCAACAGAATTCAGAACAAAACCCAGAAGTGTGATGATTCACAAAGAATGGATTGTGATTTTACTTCTCCAAGGTGTATAAACAGTTATGAAGGTGGGACTGTGTACAAGGAAGAAATCTTGTTTCTTACACAGCAGCTGAAGGAACGTCTAGAATGAAACAACAGCTCCATGACTACACTAGGTCACAGTATTATACACTGCATATGGAAGCCAACCAAATGCTAAAATTAGTATAATTAATTCCATATGGATTGTATATTTGATGTATAATCTACAACTTTATGCTGTACAAGTTTTACTTGTAAACTATTATATATGTATCTGCAACTAACAATGCACCCCAAAATGTGACCAAGTACATTATAAAACCTGTGAGAAAGAACTGCAAGTTGAAGCAGCCATCAGGACAGACTAAAACAAGATGTGTATTTGTAAGTTACGAAGTGAAGCACCTTGGTGACTATTCAAATTCCACCTGCTGGAGCAGGTTAGAATTCTTATCAG